GAGGGAGACCGACTCAGAGACCAGCAGAGAGCTAACTAGATCATCCTTTGCTTTCACCCGAGCCTGTCGTTATCAGAGCTACATAAATTAGAATGAAAATTTAATTGGGGGCTCTGAAAAATTCATGCGCTGTCAAAGGCGGCTGAGCTACCCTCCTGCCAGTTTGAATGCTTCCTTCAGGCCAAGAAGGGGTGACCGCAGCTGTTGGCTCCGGCTGACCTCTCTTGGAAGAGGCCTCAGCCCTCCAAGGTATTGTGGTACTACAACTCCCATTAGCCCCAGCCAGCATAGCCAATGGCTAGGGATGCTGAGACCTGAATTATCATACATGGTCACCTAACCATACCATGGTTTGAAGCTGCAGAGATCTACTGTGTGCACCATCACAGCCGGTACATGCAGAGAATGGTGCAGTGCTGGGGATCATGGGGCTGCTTGCCATGTGTGCAAAAAAACCCAAACATGTCCCATCTTTGTGTTTCCTTCTGTGCTTGCTCTGTGTGTGCACATTTGCGTGCAAAGATGTTTACAGACGTTTTGTGCAAGCTGAACAAAGCATGATGCAGAGGGGAGAAAAGAGCTCAGAGTCTCGCTCTTGCACTGAGGTGAGATGTCTTGCGAAGGCTTGAAGGCACTCAAGAAGTTCTGTCACCCTGTTGATGCAGCCGTTCTGGAGCACAAAGAAGACCATGGCCAAGTTTCTTCACATCCCTACTTTGTGATAGAGATGGAGGTGGGGGAGATCCTGGGATACGATTGTCTTGGAAATCATCCATCCCTCTAGGATACGAGGATAGTTCAGGTGGCAGAAAAAAGGCAGAGGGCAATAGTGGTGGAATCTAACCCTGGGGTCTCCTCTGCCCACCTTCCTTTGACAAAATCCTTCAGGCTGGCATGAACCAGGTGAAATGCTTTCGGTCGGCAAACTAATTTCCCCATCCTGGAGTAAGACCCTTGAAAGAGTGTGCCAGAACTAAGATTTAGTGCATGTTCTGGGTACAAATAACAGCCAACCTCAACGATCTTATTCCGCTTTACTCAGTGTGGTGTAGTGGATAGAGTGGCGGACTAGGATTCTGGAGAACAGGGTTCGAATCCCTGTTTGACCATGGAAACTCACTGGGAGAGTGGAACTGGGAAAACCACTCCGTAAATATCTCAGTTACCTTGAAAGCCCTCTTAGGGCTACTACAAGTTAGTTCCCACTTGAGGGGACATAATCAATGACCTAATGTCCACAGCTCTCAAGGGTAGAGGAGCTGAAACGTTGCAAAGAAGCCAAAGTTGGCAGACTTAAACTTCTCAGGGAATGGATGGATAATAAGAGATGGGTCCCCATTTGTAGCTAACATCCTCAGACACTTAGTCTGGGTGGGAGGGGGACCCTGCAGGATTTGGAAGCCATTTCTCTCCACCCCGTGGTTTCACCGCAGCCAGAGAAAAACAATTCACAGTGACGCTGTGAGTGTTGAGTCTCTTGTTCCGCTGTGATTCTTCCGGATTCTTTTTTAATCACCAAGATGCAATTAATTGGGGCTCTGTGCAAGCAGAGGTTCTGCCCCCCCCACTTTTTCTAGGAGGACCACATGGGTGACAGTGCCCAGGGAACTGGGAACAGGAGAATAGGAGATACAAGGGCCCTAACCATTACAGAGGAATCTGCCAGGGAAGGAATTGATGAGACCATCAAGAGAGCCGAGTGGCCCCCCCCAAATCCTTTGGGATCTCATTGCGTGTCCCAGCCACAGCGCCTCCGCGCCCCTAATTGGCTAATTAGCACTGGCTTTGTTCCAGACGGGTGCTTTGGAGGGGCGGCTGGGGAATCGGGGAGAGAAAAAGACGGTCATGCTGTCCTCTCCGGTCCGTCCCCCCCCCCCAGCATGGCTGGCTGTGCGGCGAGGACAGCTTTTCCGCAGAGAGTCCACCACGATTAGCATGCAGTGTCTACCTGCATTCTCTTGTTCTCGCTCCCTGTGTGAATGTATATGTATAAACAAAGACACATGGGCACACACCCAGGTACAAGATGACAGCGGATGTTGTTGGGGTGGGGGAATAAAAAAAAATGAACAACTAGGTATATAAGGGTTTAGGAGCGCAACATGTGCCAGAACTTCTCTGTCAGAAATCAACTGCCTGTTTCATCCGCTCCTCTCAGTCCAGGTGCCTAAACGTGGCTACACAGAGGAAGGCCAAAAAGCATCAACGAGGAATCGGACCCTTTGGGTGGTCTCTCTCCCCCCCTCCCCCGGCCCTGGAATAAACTACCAACTGAGATTTGCCAGACTCCTTCCCTCCGTTTGTTCAGGGAACAGGTGAAAACAGAATTATTCAAAGCTGCTTCCAACAACTGATTCTCCTGGGTGCTGTTAATGTTAATTTCCCCCCTTTTCATATGAATTTTAGACCTATTCTTGTGAATCACTATGTTGCTGAATGTATTTTGTTACGTGGGGTTTTACGTTTTCACCTGTAAACTGCCCAAAGTAATGTTTGCAGTAATGGGGCAGCAGATGAACCAACCAACCAACCAACCAACCAACCAACCAACCAACCAACCAACCAACCAACCAACCAACCAACCAACCAACCAACCAACCAACCAACCAACCAACCAACCAACCAACCAACCAACCAACCAACCAACCAACCAACCAACCAACCAACCAACCAACCAACCAACCAACCAACCAACCAACCAACCAACCAACCAACCAACCAACCAACCAACCAACCAACCAACCAACCAACCAACCAACCAACCAACCAACCAACCAACCAACCAACCAACCAACCAACCAACCAACCAACCAACCAACCAACCAACCAACCAACCAACCAACCAACCAACCAACCAACCAACCAACCAACCAACCAACCAACCAACCAACCAACCAACCAACCAACCAACCAACCAACCAACCAACCAACCAACCAACCAACCAACCAACCAACCAACCAACCAACCAACCAACCAACCAACCAACCAACCAACCAACCAACCAACCAACCAACCAACCAACCAACCAACCAACCAACCAACCAACCAACCAACCAACCAACCAACCAACCAACCAACCAACCAACCAACCAACCAACCAACCAACCAACCAACCAACCAACCAACCAACCAACCAACCAACCAACCAACCAACCAACCAACCAACCAACCAACCAACCAACCAACCAACCAACCAACCAACCAACCAACCAACCAACCAACCAACCAACCAACCAACCAACCAACCAACCAACCAACCAACCAACCAACCAACCAACCAACCAACCAACCAACCAACCAACCAACCAACCAACCAACCAACCAACCAACCAACCAACCAACCAACCAACCAACCAACCAACCAACCAACCAACCAACCAACCAACCAACCAACCAACCAACCAACCAACCAACCAACCAACCAACCAACCAACCAACCAACCAACCAACCAACCAACCAACCAACCAACCAACCAACCAACCAACCAACCAACCAACCAACCAACCAACCAACCAACCAACCAACCAACCAACCAACCAACCAACCAACCAACCAACCAACCAACCAACCAACCAACCAACCAACCAACCAACCAACCAACCAACCAACCAACCAACCAACCAACCAACCAACCAACCAACCAACCAACCAACCAACCAACCAACCAACCAACCAACCAACCAACCAACCAACCAACCAACCAACCAACCAACCAACCAACCAACCAACCAACCAACCAACCAACCAACCAACCAACCAACCAACCAACCAACCAACCAACCAACCAACTGTTCAACATAGCTTAGGGGTTTAGGTATCTGGTTGCAGAACCAGAGGTTGGGAGTTCGATTCCCACACAGGGCCTCCCAGATAGGGGCTGGACTCGATGATCCATAGGGTGCCTTCCAGCTCTGCTGTTCTAAGATGATGATAACATTTACACCTGCATTCTTCCAGGTGGCTAAAAGTGGCTGCAGTGGGGGGGGGGG